CAACATATTGGGTGACACTCTTGACCCTAAATTGCTCCCGTAGGCTGCCATGTAATGAAATGTATGCAAGTGGCTTTGGATAAAAGTGTCAGCTAAGTGATATGTATTGTAATGTAATGTATATCAAGTATATTTATTATTATAAAACGGACAAGTCAAATCACGCAATCTGATTGGTTCTTAGCAGTTAATACTGAGCGTATACCACGGGTAGAATTGTAGTTACTTTTCACAACAAGTCATTATCCCTCCGCGTCTGAGAAATACTGTATACAGTTGGGCTGAAAAGCAAACTGTAACGGGGCAGAAACCCTCCTTTTTACGCAGCGGTCCAGACATAGACATCAAACGGCAAAACATATTCAGTGTGCAGTTCCTTTGTCATTAGGGCAGGGATATCTAGATACTTTCCAAGGTTTGACATCATGAGTTGTGCTACTTTTAAAGCAAGCAACGATGTTTTCAAATCTGTAATCAAAAAGGTCTGCAAAAACACTATCGACCAATCAGATTGCTTGATTTGACTTGTCCGTTTTATAAATATACATTTCTTCCGTTATGAAACAAACTTACAAAGCATAAGATGGAAACATTTAAGATTAACTTCGACCTCCGGGGGGGAGGGGTCTTACTATGGAGGAGTGGATTGAGGAGTGTCTATCTCCAGAAAAAAAAAAGTACCTAAACGACGACATGCAGAGCTACGTGAAGAGCAGGTAGACCAACTGGAGAAGTACCACCATTCAAAAGCTTTCTGATGCGGGTCTTGAAACAAAGCAGAGAAATTATGACCGTTAGTGGCCACAGGTGCGAAAGCTCTCTCCAGAGCTACTGGAAGCCCAATCTCGGGACCGGAGAAAGTGGAGCAATATTCTCACCACGCCAAGCAACAGCCTAGAACAACCTCAACCTATACAAGTAACCTTGTAACAATTCAAACGGGATCGAAAGATAATCTTTCTCGCTCCATTGACTTCAATACATAATTTTTTCGAAATAAGGTCCCATGGAGGTCCACCGCAAAGGGAGGGACTTCACCACTCTATGGCCACACTTGGTAACCGTTTTATAAAACGCTTCGCGTCGGGCCGAACCACGCCCCTTAGCTGTGATATGTGGTTGGAGGCGTGTGGCGCATTGGATAGCCTTGATAGCCTTGGTCTGGAGATCAGATGGTCACAGGTTCAAACCCCACTGCAGTCAGCATGTCGTTGTGTCCCTGAGACACTTCACCACAAATTGCTCCTGTGGGGATTGCCCACAGTATTGAGTATGTAAGTCGCTTTGGATAAAAGCATCTAACAAGTAACATGTGATGTAATGAGCATATACCATGGCCTATTGTGAGCTATTGCTTAATTATAGCTCAACTTAACATCCTGAATGAACTCTCAGGCTTCTCCCCAAATCTTACTTGCTCAAGGGGTTGTGAATGTAATCAAAACAATCCGATCAGATATTTATAATTTTACGATTTATATATTAACCAAGCTAACATTTGATGGGAGCCTCCTGGTGTGTCTCAGCTTTGACATTCAGTCAGGAATCTACTTGCAAGTGACTTTCATAAATATACCTACTGCTTGAAAGGCAGTCTAATAATAATAATAATAACTTTAATTTATATAGCGCCTTTCATCAACCCAAGGTCGCTTAACAAAGAAACATATAAGGACAAGACATAAAACAGGTGGCAGAAATGGAAGTGTTACATTGCAGGGGGGGATGAAGACATATCTACAGTAGATATAGGGCACTTATACACTTACCTTGTTTGGTGCTGACTTTGGGATATTCCAGTTGGATCTGGACCAAAATTACTAATGGGAAACCTCCTGAACCACAAACTAGGCCAGCCTTTTTTGGATAGTTTGGACTGAAGGAGTTTAAAGGTCCCATGTCATGCTTTCCCGGTTATTACCTGTCCCCTTATGAAGGTTTGTATGCATGTGAACGGTCTGCAGAGTCAAAACCCCTCAAAGTACACCCTGTAGTGAGTAAAACTCTAACACAGAGAAGACCTCCCCAAAACGCCTCGTTGGAGATTTCTCATTTACTTCCTGGGTATCGCTTGTTAGAGATTAAAAGGGATATCTGATCCGCTTTTCAAATCTCCGCGCGTTCCTATGAAGCTGGTTATAATACAGGAAGAAATCCAGTGCCACCAAGTAAACAATATCTACTTTAATGGTAATATGACAAAATAATACAATCAATACAGTACAAATTCAATACAGTTAATCTTTGGGATCCCGAATTTACCTGCACGTGAGCCAGCCAGAGGAAAGAGGCTGAACACCGCCTGTGTTTCTGTGTTTCTACTCTGTGACAATGGGAGGAGTTATCAGATCCTCCCATTCGGACATCATTGATTGGCCGCCCCAAATATCACAGACCCCTTAGACCTTAGGCTTCCCCAATCACTGTAGCTAGGTCTAAACTGAAGGCAACTCAAGACATGCTCTCACCTTCCCCCATCTTCCTTTGTCCTCAAAAACATATGTCAAACAGGCCCCACATCCAGCTCACAGTTCCACCCAAATTATTCCCTTTTTAAGCTTATCCATAGTTTGCTAACATGAATAAATACAAATATAACTTTACAAATCCCCCTTTTGGATCGCTACGTAGGGATACCCAGTAGCCACGCCCAGAGCTATGGCCGCACCCTCTGCCAGCCTTTCACGAAACAAAGCTTCCCAAACCTTTCAGCGATGCATGCCGGATATGCACAGCGTAGGGCACTGAAGAACGATGCTGTTCCTACTTTGTTTGGACCAGCGGGAGATTCGGGTACACAACCTGTAAGTATTCATTGTTGTTTGTGTATTCATGATGTTTAAAACAAACAAGGTATCTACCACGACTGTTTCAATGGGTAAACGTTACGTTACGTACTACGTTGGGATGGCGGAGAAATGCTCTCCGCAGACCCATGCTCACAGCGTTATAAACCTTTTTCTTTCTCAATATCAAGCCACACTTATTGTTTTTACTTCGGCTGTGAGTGTTTGTGTGCTCAGGATGAGTTTCGCTTGTTCTAGCTGTATCACAAAGCCTGTCTGCTCCTGCAGCAGCCCGCAGCAGTGTGTGTGTCTGTGTGTGTGCGAGCAGCAACGAGCCTGTCAGCTTCTCGACCAATCAGAGCTCACAGGGAGGGGGGGGGGGCAGGAGCTCGAACAAGCCGTAAAATAGTGCCGCAGCATAGAAGCAGCGAAATATGTGAGCGCATGTCACAGCCTAAGAGACAACAACAACACATAGCAGCTGTTCCTCACAGCTCACTCTGATTGCTCCTCTACTTCATGTGTCTTTCTTTTCTGGCTTTCTTTCTTTTTACATTTGATACTTGAGGTTTTGTAATAATATATTGTTGTAAATTGTTTAATGAATGAATTGTATTTGCATTTTTTGTTTTTTTCTTATCATATTACTATTGAATTGTATTATCCTTGACGCTTTGGTAATATTGTTCACCTGACATTCATGCCAATAAAGCATATTGAATTGAAATTGAGAGAGAGAGAGAGAAAGAGAGAGAGCAGACAGTTGTTTGCAGACGATCGACATTGAGCGGATGAAAACACTGTCACTGGTGTGCACATATACAATGTAGGTTTCAGTTTGTCTCTCAATAAACCCATCTTTAAGCAAATCTAATGCAAGTTCAGGGAAAAAGAGTTCCCGTAGTTACTGACGACAGAATCTAGATACGATGGGAAGTTCTCCAGTGCACTTGCACAGTTGCAATGTAAAACCAAAACTAAATTCATCAAATATTAGATTTATCAAATAATCTGGGTTTTGTGCTTTGAAAACATCATGATATTCAGTATTTCCTGGCACATCATTCCTTCAGGTAAAGACTAGCAGTTTTACAGGTCAGCCCTCTGGCTGTTAACCTGATGGTGAGACTGACTATTGATCGCTCGCTGTCAAAGCCTGATCTTTATCATGACAACGTGTTCCTGTGTCACACACCGTGTTTAACAAGTATACATCTGTTTGTTCAAATGCATTGCTGTATTGCAAAGAGGAAATGCAGTTTATCTTGCTTCTCTCATATAAAACTGGGTCAAACTAATTGGTGCCTGATTGTTAGTTAGTAAAAAAATTCACTGGCACAGAAACATAACCCTGCTTCACACTATAGAGTATTACATATCTTCGAGATAACACTCTCTGCATTGTTCAAATTCACATCATTTTTCTTAAAACAAAGTTTGGAGTGTCCAGAATGTTGGAATGAAAAATGTGTATTGCTTATAACAAGGTTATGTTAAGTGTTAAGTTCAGATATATCACTGGGAAACACTCTGTGTGTAAAATGGACATAGAGGTTCATGTCCAGATTCTTTTTTTTACATCTGATCTTAGGAACTACTTTTAGAGGCCATGCACTTCAGTTCAGATCACAGTAGTAGAAACTACACATCTATCCTTCCTAACATGATTTCACCAGCAGACTTCCTGTGCAGACATACAAACATAATCTTTGTAAGCGATGGCTGTGGCTTTTTGGCAAGATCTGTAGTAACTGTCTTAACCTAACCCAGCTACCAGTACCAATAAGATACTAAAACCTTGTTGTTTGGTAACTCTTCACTGAGGTAACACTGTCGGATGTCAATGTTACCTTTGACCTTCGCCGCACTACCACTTTTACTGATATTATATATGTACATTTACCTGTTAAAATTCAGAGTTTAACTCATGTCCTTCTTTGTATTCATATTATTACGATATTTGTATTCTTATTTTATTTATTTTTTTGTATTTTATTTTTATACTTATTATCCCAAGTGTACGACTTGTGTTTCTGTCGTATTATGTTGCTGTTATGACACCTGAATTTCCCTACGGGGATCAATAAAGGTCCATCTTATCTTATCTAATCATCAGCTACAGTACAGCCTCCCTGGAGCCGGTATACAGATTCAGAAGTTTCCCCATTTCAAAAAAGGACAAGAAGAAAAGGAAACATTTACTGTCAACTAGGGTTGGGAACCGAAACTCGGTTCCAAGTGAGAACCGATAAGAAAATGCCCGGTACCGGGTACCCATACAAAATACACAATTTCGGTTCTGCTTAACGGTTCCTAAACGCGGTAGACTAACCCTTTAGAAAGCCTACATATCTGCACGGACGAAGGCTAAGGCTACGTATCTATCTGTAAGGACCTGTAGTAACGTGACGACGTCACGCATCAACGGAACAGCAGCGTGTGATTTGATTTGTTTACATACCCCATGCTGCTTGCACGGCTCAGTCACTTCATAACACCACACAGATGGATCGCGGTAAACGCTCGAAAGTGTGGCTCCACTACACACAGAAAGAGAAAGGCAAGGCACAATGCAATGCCTGTGGCAAGCTAATAGCTTGTTCGTCAGGTTGCACTTCAAATTTAAGTAAACATTTGAGACAACACGGCATCGAAATTAAAGAATGTACAGTCTTTAGTGGCTTGCGGTCTCCGAGCCCGAGTATGGCATCAATAGCCAGCACGAGCAACCCGGACCCGCCGCTTGCATGTCCAGAAGTGCCGGTTACAGCTCGCCGCGACACACCGTTCTCTTTGGCAATAAAAGGAAAGCTGACCAAAGAAAAAACGGAGGAGTTTCACAGAGCAGTAACAGCATTTGTAGTCAAAGGGCTACATCCCTTCTCGGTTGTCGAAGCTCCGTCATTTAGGTAGGCTAAGGTTAAAAAAAAGTGTGACGAGTAAAAGCCAGGTAGTAAAAGCCAGGTACTGTTATAAAACTGTTGAATCTTTTTTTGCAGGGAAATGACCACGGCCCTAAATCCCAAGTACACGCCTCCCTCCAGAGATAGCTTGAGCAACGAATTGATTCCTGCCTGGTATAAGGTGGAAAAATCAAACGTTGTATTTGAGCTAAGTGGTGTTAGCAAAGTTGCCATAACCAGCGACGGCTGGACAAGCATTTCTCAAGACCATTACCTTACAGTGACAGCTCACTACATCATTGAGGGAAAGATGAGACAAAAAGTGCTCAGAACAAAAGCCATCTACACAGCCCAAACAGGACAAGTGGTGGCTGAAGAAATTGGAGAAATTCTGCAAGAATTTGGCATTATGAATAAAATAGCGGCTGTCACTGTTGATAATGCAGCGAACATGGATGTGGCCATCAAAAGGCTAAATTTCATAAAGCTAGGCTGTTTTGCACACACACTTAATCTTGGGGCACAAAGTGTCTATTCTCTGGCATCGGTGACAAAATGGACAGCAAAGATCAGGGGTGTTGTCGTCTGGATGAAGCGTTCATCCATGGGAAAGACTGTGCTCCGGGAAAAGCAACAACTCCTAAGTAAGCAACCCTCAGATTACTTCATTTGACCATACTATAAGCTCATTAGTGCATTATGTACATTTTGAAGGTCTTAATTTGTTAACACAATGCAAGAAACATATAGATCTTATAAAAACGGAATCTTCTTATATAGATGATCATGAAGATAACGTTATTGTTTGTCACAGAGCAAACACAAACAATGCATATTTAAAATGCATTTATACACATACACGTAGAATAGAAATAAAACTGTTCAAAAAGTAATCACATTTCTCAATCAGATTTTCTTGTTTGTGTTATAGATCTGCCAAAACACTCTCTAATTCTTGATGTGAGAACTCGTTGGAATTCCCTCTACATGATGTTGGAACGATTCATTGAGCAATATCCTGCCATTCAAGCAGCCAGCCTCGATCAGCGTCTGAGAAAGCCAATGGAGAGGGACCGACTTGCTCGACTGACAGAGGATGATTTTAGAAGGGCAGAGGAATTCATCCATCTGATGAAAGTGTTATACACATCCACACTCTGTGTTTCCTCTGAAAAGAGCCCCACTTGCGGTCAGATCCTTCCAATTCTACGAAAGCTTGAGAAGCATTTCAGTGTTGAAGAGGGAGACACAGTGTTGGGGTCCAGCCTGAAGCAGGCTGTCTGGGGAAACCTTTCTAAGCGGTACCAAACTGATGGCATCAGAACGTTTCTTGAAGAGGCCACTGCATTAGACCCTCGTTTCAAAAACCATGTGGAGGACAGCACTGTCTGGGACCGGATCAAGGAGAAGGTGATGGTAGGAAAGCTTACTGAGTCTGAACAGCCAACAGAACAGGACCGTGGTGAAGAAGATGGTGTAACACAGCAGCAGTCTCTCACTCAAAGAGAGAATGAGGAGGAAGAAGATGGAGAGGAGAGTGAGGAAGAGCAGGAGCAGCCACCTCCCTGCAGCAGCAAGAGGGCTAAAATGACTCCGCTTGAGGAGCTTTTTGCAGCTGAAGACAGCCTGAAGATAAAGAACTTATCAACCAGCACCATGTCCACCCAGCTCCAGACTGACAGAGAGCTGAAGATGTACCAAGACATGCCACCAACAATGACATCTGATGACCCTGCTGCCTGGTGGTGGAACAAAAGAACCACTTATCCTTTGCTCTCAGAGGTGGCCCTTTCATATTTGTGTGTGCAGGCTTCCTCAACCCCTAGTGAGAGGGTTTTCTCCACTGCTGGAGATACAATTTGCCCAGAAAGATCACGCATACTACCAGAAAAGGCTGATATGCTGATTTTTCTCAACAAGAACTGTTGAGTTAGCCAGGTGTTGTGCACTCAATGCACTTTAGTTCAACCATTTGGCCCTTGTTATTGTTGCTCGAACTGACTTTTTCTTTTTTCTCAAACAGGAGGACTTATATGACTTATGTGTTATGTATGTCTGTAGGTTTCCTGCTGCTACCTCAGTTGATATAAAGCACAGCTATTGTGTATTTTATTTATTTATAAAAATGTCAGTACCTTAAAGCTTGAAAGAATAAAGATATTTTTGTTATCTAAACATTTGACCTCTTTCTTTTACAATTTTGGAATCGAAACGGGGAATCGATAAGAACCGGAATCGATAAGCAGAACCGGAATCGGAATCGGAATCGATAAATTTCAAACGATACCCATCCCTACTGTCAACCCAACAACACACAAAAGGACAAATGCATAATTTCTAACACGTGATGGACACTATAATCCCAGTATAAAGTTGGTGACCAGGGTGGAATCTTTTTTATATTTGTTTTATTTTGTTTGTGAAAAGTGTGTGTCACCGCTCCTCGGGACCAGGGATTTAATGTTCAAAAACAAGGAACAATACAATAACGTTCATGTGACCCATTTCTAGAGCTAAGCGAGGGATTCCTCTCTAACAGAGCCTGTATTTTAGACAGCAGCTCAGGCTTTAAAATGTAAACTGCATGTCTCAGAGGTCCGGATGAGGGAAAACCAAGCTCCTGCTCTGCGGACATGGTTTGGTGATTAATGGTTGAGGACAGGGAGCAGGAAAAGCTCCTGCTCTGCGGACATGACTTTCTCCTAAAAAGCTATTTTAAAATGATTGGCAGTATCATTAAAAACAGATTGTTGATTATTTTCAGTTTCCAAAGTTCCACTCATTAGATGCAGAAGGATATGATGTCTGTGGAGAGATGACTGTGGTACTCTAAGCCAATTACTGTAAATCAGACCGGTTCTAGCTCTGAGGATTGTTAGCCAGCCAGACCAATACACAGGGCTGGCTAACGAAAATAAAGCATATAACGTTAGAGAAAAACATTTCCCAGTAACATGTTCTGTGGTGTGTGTAGTTTTGGGGAGTCTCCCAGCAAGCTTTCTTTTCAAATCTATTTTCCAAATGCCCTTTTAAAATCCTAGCGTGGAAGTGTCGGGTGTTGTTTGGCTGTTGAAGGTGTCAAAGCATGAGGTTGTGTGAGTACACCATGTTGATGTAGGTGTGTGTATGTGTTTGCTTTGCAGAGGACCTAGAGGGCTCCCTCCAACTATCACCCAACACCCACACAAGGCGCAAAAGGCTGTGAGAAATAAGTGCAAAGCATTCAGAAAAAAAGATCAGGAAAAGGTTTGTGGAAAGGGAGCGGTTCTGATGCCCTGAGTCTGATTGAGATGAGAAAAAAGAGGAAGAGAGAGGCACAGGGGGCTAAAGGAAAGATTAGTGCACCAAGGAGCTCCCATTTTGCTCTCAGCAGTGTCTTATCCAGAGCATTGTGCAGGTAACAGCCATCAGAAGCCTTACCCTGGGATTCCACCGGGTCTGTCTGCCCCGCGTTACGGCTGCACCGCGGTTTTGTTCCGACCTCCTACAGCAGGGGTCGGCAACAGGCGGACCGCGGTCCGGATCCGGACCCAGACGCCGACCTATACGGACCCGGATCTATAATCAATACATTAATAGGGGATTTCAATTTTGACGGGGCGATTCTATTTCAACTGCCACCGACAGGGGGCGAAAGAGACGAGTGAGCGATACAGGGAGAGAAACACAGAAGAAGAGACGAGAGCGCGGCAGAGAGAAGCGGAGAGGAAAGTGAGTGAAGAGAATAGTTAGCGATACAGGGAGAGAAGACGGAGAGGAGAGTGATAGGTAAAAAGTGTTTCCTAAAGACTCACCATTCTATTGCATTTAGGCTGTGAGCACTAGAGAACTAGATTTTAAACATGCAATTATAAAACATTTGAAGAATGGATGTGTGCCAAAGGGTTGTGTGGTACCTTTAATATGTGTGTTAGTAGTGACGTGCCAACAGATGACTTGAATCACCAATGATCGTTAACTAATCGGAAGAAAAAAAGCTTGTTAAAAACCCAAAGAAATAAAGGAAAACGGAACATCTTTTGTAATTGGTCAACAGAGAAACAACCAGCTGTCAGTCAACTGTTACTAAGGGAACCATCCACCCAGCAACTTGAAGCTAAGACACTGATTCCACCAAACAAGTCATCCTTGCTGTCGTAGCTAACCAAGCCCTTTCAAATAACCTGACAAAATCATTTTAAAAGAGACTAACTCTGCCAACAGTGACAGTAGGCCAATTTTAAAAATCCCTGAACGTCACGAAGCGCTCTGGTCCAGCTGTGTGCGTCACTTTTTAGTGTCCCCTGGGCTGCAGTCGAATAGTCCATTTAGAAATATGAACGTTCGTTTTTACTGAAATGATCAAATAAAGTCAACATTTCACAGTCTTCACTGAGCTGTGTGGGGTTTGTTCAACTTGATGTTAGAATGGTGATATACACAGTGATAGATGTTAAGGACTAACGTTTATAATAAATACATTTGTATTGATTTTAAGCTATTTTCATAGTTCATACAATCATACGTATTGGGATCATTTGTATTAATGTGGACCGGAGGGAGAGGGTGACGAGCATAAGTTGTCCACGTTCATAAAGCATAAAACAACAGCATCAGAGCACGGTGCAGAGTCTCTAGATGAGTTTACAGTAGTCCCTCGTTCTTATTAAACATCCATGTTGTAGTCCGCTGTATAGAAAACTGTAGTTTCCATAGTTTCCCCACAGCAGCAGACGCACATTCATGACGTCCGCTGGCGCATCATAAACACGTCGGATAGTGAAAGTGCAGTCGGATTCTCTAAAGTACCGCAGTCTCTTCTCCTAAATCCTTTTGAATTCTCCTATCCACTATCCCTTAACCCCGTGACGTTTCACTCAGAGGTCAAGGAATAGACGATAGGAGCTGATTTTTTGACTATTCGACTGCAGCCCAGGGGCCTCATTTATAAAGCGATATACGCTCAAAAAATGGCGTACGCCAGTTTCTACGCAATGTTTGCGATTTATAAAATACTAACTTGACGGGAAAATGTGCGGTCCTCCACGCAAACTCTAACCCATGCGTACGCACTAAGCACAAACACGGGAGAGACGAGAAACTGTGACACCGTTGGCAGAAGGAAGAATGGAGAGAAATATGAGGAAATAATACCATAAATAAAATGTTACCTCTCATTTATCATATATGAAGAATTCATTTTCAAACATTGATTAAAGCCAATCTTAAAATGATTAAACAAACGCCTGTTTGCGACTCCTCAGTGCACACAAAAACATAACTTGGAGAAATAAATAAATAGGAATATGTTATTTAAAACCACCTCGAATATGTTGTGTTAATGTTATGAAATGTTTTCTCATAAATGATGCGGTAAGCAGGAGGACAGAATTACGTCTAAACTGACGCCGTTTTGTATTTCTATAGGTTGTAGATACGAGCATGGTTTTATATACTATCATGTTTAATCGTGTTTTATGCCGTTTGCCAAGACTTGATTAGCCGCTCATAAAACACAGGAGGTATGGAAGCTAAGAACACCATATGTAGTCAATTGTACAGCGAATATAACACAACACATTAGTTGTATTTCCTTTAACTGGTGGATATAGAGTTGCTGCGGGGGGGGGGTTGAGACGCACAGGCTGCAGCGGAGACGCTGCGCACAGCTGATCGACAGCTGGGACACAAACCATCAAATACAAACACATAATTCAGATCCAGTCGTCATGACTCCACTCCGGAGGGATTCCCCGATCACGTCTTAAAGTTTCTCATCAAGGGGGGGTCTCCTGTCCCCGGTACAAACACACTGCCTGAGGAAGGCTATGTGTATTGTTTTTGTCATGAACCTTTTTCGGACCACTTATTTATTTATGTTGGTGACGATCCGACCTTTTTTAATAGGTACATTTCTGTACCTATTTTTTGGATTTCTTCTACGTAAGCAACCTTCCCACGTGAATCCTACGCACGGCGTTATAAATGAGGCCCCTGGTCTCCCAGCTGTGTGCGTCACTTTTTAGTGTCCCCTGGTCTCCGTTCTGTTTTGAGCTTCTTTCTGCGTTTTGTATTTGCAGCATTTACAAAAAACCGCTGCAAATACAAGAAGCTTTTTCAAGTTGGTGAAGATGTTTCTTCATCAGCTTACGTTTTGGCACATTTCTGAAGCTGCAGCACCTTTCTCCAAATGGAAATGCTCTGGGCTGTTGTAGCGTGTTTGCAAAATAAAATAACCCTGATGATGTCATCAAGGCTATCTAAGATTTGGATAGCCTTAAACCCTTTGTCTGTCTAGAAAGCACAGAAAGCTCTTATTAAACGAACAAAATGATGGCCTACAGCCCGAAAGTAACGCAGAGTTGCAAAGTTTGAAATGTAATAATTTGGCAGGATGCATCCGAGCACATATTGTTGTGGTGAAGGACGACAGATTGCCTGCTGGGTTACAGAAGGCAAGGTTGAACACTTTAGACTTCAGCCACACCTTAGAGGAACTTTAACTGGTCCCAGATGCAGAAGCAGCTGCGTCTAACAGATCGAATCAATAATGCAGCCGTTCCTCAGAGGATCCTCTGCAAGCCCAGCTGGAAGATGTCTTTCTGTGTTTTCTAGTAAATGTACGTTTCCTTACACAGCAGCTCACATATGAATTGCCTTTTTTCTCCAGCTGGAGTTACAACACATGCACTTCATAACTCCAGCTCAGGAAGCCTTTTAATTCACTCTGTGGTTTTCATTTGAAAAGGTCTGATGAGGTGAAACACCTAATAGCCGCTTTCACACCAAGTACTTTGCCGTACTTAGTTCCCAGCACTTAGTTCCCAGCACTTATGGCGCATTTCCACTACAGCGCGGAGCTCGCTTTAAGCGTGCCGTGCCCGGCCCGTTTTTGGTTGCGTTTCCACTTGGCGTAGTTCCGGCTAGCGGGTACTATTTCACAGTTTTTCTGGCCCCATAAAATTGAGGTTCTTTCCGGGCCAACAACCAGGCGGAGTCGGGCTAAGTATGCTAAACTAGAGAGAGAATCGCTGGCAAGGGGGCTACAACTACAACAAGATGAACATATTTGACCGTGATTTAATTGTAATACATGTTTCAAAATGATGCCGAAGTAACAACATACTGATACCGGTTAGTAAAAACCATGAATTAATGCTTTGACAAGTCTGCAGACAGACGGCAGGCTGTGAAGGTAAACTTCTGTTGTTGCAATGTTGAGGTAGAATGAAGGAGTCTGGAACCGTTGTTAGCCAAAGCACCGAGAGTTTATTGATCACAGTACATTAATTACATACGGCCGGGGAGATC